TAACTATGACGGCACGACATGAAGGGATGGTTGCCAGGGTGCGATTGTTTAAGAATAGGTTAGGAAGCGATTTAGTTAACATGTCGTGGTTTGTCAAATGAGAGATTTAGGCCTATGGTGATCGCCAGTAAGAAAGAAAGGATGAAAGAAACGTGACCAACCCAAGTAGAATCTCAAAGGCTCTCAAGATCAAGTATCTCATCGACATGATGGATAGTAGTTTTGAATTAGTTAATCAACTACTCGGACGTTAGCAATCAGATCATCGTCATCAACCCAGAGAAGGAAGGAGGAACGTTGCAAAGGTCTGTGGAGGTAGAATCAAATGTGCGCACCAAACACCAGCAAAGGGGTGCCAATTGAAAGGGAATACCTCAAGGATTTTGAAGGAGTTGAGAGAGTAGTACGAGGATTTTACTACTAGGAAACAAGTGGATGATCTAATAAGCTAAGACAAACAAAGGGGAGAAATATGAATCTCTAAAGGAAGAGGAACAATCACCAGATGCCAGTGGCTATGATAATAGGATGATGTTAGGGTCTTTGGTCCTAAGCAGTGGAAAGTGGGCAACCAGTCAAGAAATGAAAAGGTACCTCAAGAAGTCCCTCAGCTAGTTTTTGTTGTTGATGGCTCGACGCTATTACAACACTGTGACAAGGACCAATGGAGAGCTTAGACTTTAAGAAAAGCTAGGGTAGTATAAATGAAGCAAATGAGGGAATAAGTAGGTTACAGGGAGTACGAAAGGACGTCAAGAAGTTAATAGGTCAAGGCGGAGAGGAGGCATGGCCATTTACATATGACGACAAAGGAACCCTTATAGATAAACTGCGTCACTAGAGAAAAGGGTACATGACCCTGGGGAATAAGGCTGATAGCAAATCTTTACAAGGAAAAAGACAAGCATCAAGATAATCGAGGTAGAGGACGAGCTATGATCAAGAATAACAATGTGCCAGTGAACAACGCCAAGCTAAAAAGAGGATGAAATGGGATATAAGAGGCCTTACAAACTACCCAAATCACGAAAGGTCACGAGGTCATTGGGACCGTTGAAAGGGGAATGCAAGAGTTCATGATGATCTTTTGTGTCATTGGCCTGTCCTAAAAGGAGGGAGCACCTATCCACCTAGTAAATGAGGGGTGATAGAAGGAGGAACTTGTGTAATCAGTTGGAATTAGGGGCCTAAGAGCTAGAGTCTCAGAACTAGCTATAGGAGTAAGTCATTCAACCAACCGAGTGTAGACAAACAAGTAGAACGTTCATTGGAAGTTTTAATAAATTTGAGAGAATTTGAGGAGGATTCCCAACGGTCGTGATAAGGAAAAGTTGCGTACAATACAAGGAAAATGCAAGAAGGACAGAGGAAGTTTGACTAGATTTCAAGAAGTCAATTGGTGTCGGAGTCAATTAGTCAATTGGTAAGCAATCTTAAAGTAGTACCGACTTCGGTAAGTCGTCTCTAAGGCCATAACTATGAAGTGGCATTAGTCAGGTCGTAGAGAGTTTGAAGTCAAGGAAGGACAAAAAAGTTCCTGATAAAGGATTGGGAATATGTGTAAGTGACCTGAGTTCAAATAGAGTGAATGGAGGAAAATAGTTAGGAAGGGTCGAAGCAGAAATGCAGAAGACAGCAATGAAGTATTAGGTTGAGTACGAGTGGATAACAATTGATCCATAGGAAGTCCATCGAGAAATTTCGGCCAATTGTAAGGTGGAATCGGGGTCGTCAAGAATAGTCCAAGGGAGAACCTTATAGGTCAAGGTACATAAGTGAGAAGAGAATATGAGAACCTAGATGACTACATCGAGAACAAGGGACATCTAGAACTAGTGAGTAACATCAAGGAGAAGAGTCACGAGTAGAGAGGTAATAGGGATATGAGTTTAGGGAATAGGGTACCCCAAAGTGAAGCCAAGATCACCTATGCGGGTGAAAGGTGTCGATCTCGTGGATAAAAATTTATTGTACGGGGAAACCGTACAATGAATTTCAGCTAGGGTCCGAGAGAAGCAGAATGGATAGTACAAGAACATAAAATTCAAGCAGCGATAAGTAAGTGCTAACTTAGGCTCCAGGAGTGAACAAGTAAGCTAGAGAGAATGCCATGATTCTTGAAAGGAATCATAAAGGTGGTCGCAAGCTAGAGAAAGATGCAAAGGATGCCTCTAATGCATACAGAAAGTAAAAGCTGTAATATGAGGTTTTAGAGTTAAGCAAGAAGTAACGAGGAGATGACCACTCAGTTTTTGGTTTAAAGGATAAGACGGAGCATCAAAGAAGAAAGTAAGAGATACAAAGTTAGGAGGTACAACGCCCTAGGTCACCTATGAGGTCAACCCCAGACGAGAGTTACGTTAAAAGAATTTTACCACCTTACTAGATGGAGGATAAGCCTCCATCAATGACCTTAGGGTTGGAGAGGGGCATTAACTTCTCAGGTACCGAACAATGGATAGTTATCGTTCCTATATATGTACAAGGTGCACCCGAGGTAATGTGAGGGGTTAAGAAGCCACAAAAACATTGAAGTTGCAGGGAATGGAGAAAATGATTTTAGGTCATGTCGTATAAGTTAAAGGAAATAAAAATCCGCGAAGTGAAAAGGATTACCACAAGCGATGCTTAGGGTAATCACAGTGGACAAATTTCGAGGGCGAAATTTCTATAAGTGGGGAGGAAATGTGATACCTCGACTTTGATAGGTTCAACAGCAAGTACTGAATCAGTTGGACCAAATAAATTGAGCCGAAATTTCGTCCCATCACACCCTGGGCCCAAGTTGGAAATTTTTGAAAAGGGCAATGAGTCACTCAAACCTATTCGATGCTACCAAGCTAGATGGGAATATATGTTATGGTCAATTGTACATATAAGAACTATCGTAAGCTATTCAAGACAAGGTAAGGGCACGCCATTGAAGTTCATGTAGAAAGAGTGAAACCTTGAGCCAAAGAAGCACGAGAATGAGGAGTATGGAAAGATGAACCCGATCAAATTTAGGGGACGAAAATTTTATAAGGGTGGAGGATATGTTACACCCCGCTCTTCCCAAAAGCCAAAATGACTATTATACCCTTGGGTCAAGTTCCACCGTATTGTCGATGAGGATTAAAAATGGGAACTATCGGTTCAAGCGGTGTCGAATTTCGACATCAAATGAGAAAGTTACGGGTAGTAATTGAGTTTCGGATTAAACTCACCCGCAAGTGTGAATTCCACGAATACCCTTGGACCAATTAAAACCCTAAATCCCTTAACCACTCGGCCTCAACTGTCACCACTAACTAAAACTAGTAAATCCCTCGGGTTTAATCCCCCACCTAATGGAAACTTTCTGCAAAGAAGAAACAAGCAGAGAGCTCATTTTCCCCAGCCGCTCTCTGCCAAGCAAACAGCCAAAAACTGCCGCCACCACCGCGCCACGCCACCTCCCAATCTCCGGCCGCGGCCTGCCCGCCCTCCAGAGCCTCCAATGCCGATGCTCAATCGCCAACTAGAGACGATTATTCCTCCCGTTCGAATTCGAGCAAAGCTCAAGCTATAAGGAGAAGGAAAACCAAATTGACTGCAAGCACATTTGGTGGGGCGATCGAGTGATGGCGTGGGCGTAGGGTGCAGCTGTGGTTAGAAAAGATTGGTGCAGAGGAGCCATTCAAGGGAAACTGGGCAACGTGGTGGGGCAATGTTAAAGAAAAGGAAGCACTTCAAAGGTACAAATTGATTACAGGGCATGGTATTGCATTTCCCTTGTCTCAACTCTACGGGGAGAGAGATCCAGAACATGATTGGATAGCCGCTTCGCCGGATGGGTTAATAGAGAAACCATTTTATGGACTGCCATCTAGAGGCGTGCTAGAGATAAAATGTTTGTTTTTTTATGATATGAAAGATGCTAAGCCATGGAAACAAATCCCTCTTTATTATATCCCACAAGCTCAGGGTTTGTTGGAGATCATGGATAGGGATTGGATGGACTTTTATATGTGGACTCCACGAGGAAGTAGTCTATTCAGAGTACATAGAGACAGAGAGTACTGGAACGTTATGAGGTTAGCACTTTCGGATTTTTGGTTGGTGGGGAAATAATTAGTGTTTTAGGATGGAGGAATTTGAACAAGTCAAGCAGAAGCTTGAGTTGATTTGGTTATGGTCATGGTCATGGTGTAGAGGCTATATTTACGAGATGGAGGATATCCAGAGATTTCTTATGGATGGGTTGGAATATCATACTAGGAGATCATGGGAGAAAACAGGGGTTCTCGCAAACTCTTCGTCAATGAGGTGAGTGTAAAGGGGGTAAATTCTACGCCTTACGTATTCTTTTAAGTATTATGATTTTAAGTATTTTAGCGAATTGGTTACCGTTGCTTGATTATGTTTATTGATTGATTATTTGTGCTTTGCTTGAGCTATGATTGAGGTGATTTTGTGCTATTTACCTTAAAGCGTTATGTTTGAGTTATGGTTAAAGTTTAAGAAACAAGTTCTTTTAAAGAAGTAATTCACCTTCAAGAAGGTGAAGTCGTTTTAAGTGTTTTTAGTCGCTAGTGCCAGTCCGTTGCCATTTAAGATTTTCAGATAGAGCAACAGTTATGCTCTGGAGATCTTTGAGATAGAGCAGCAGTTATGCTCTTGAGATATTTAAGTCAAGTTTTGAGATTTAAGAGAGGAGTAACAGTAACTCCCATACAGTTTTAAGAGTTAAGCTTTTCAATAGTGAAGTACAAAACAACTTCCACACAGTTAAGTATAGTGCTCAAGTTTTAATAAGATGTTAAATGTAAGGGCGTAGACTGACCCCATCTCACTCAACAGTTTGAAGAGCTAGAGGAGCAGTTAGTGAGAAGCGTGTTCGAGGCCAGCCAGCTAGAGGAGAGCAGTATAAGCGTCACAGAGGATGCTTAGTGGAGGGTTTCAGTAGCAACAACACTAGAGATTAGTAGGTATTTAAATTTATGATTATGAGTATAGACTAGAGATCAATTCGGGGATTTTAAGTATTGAGGTTTCCCATGTGTTAGGGCGTTGCTTTGAACTACAAATGCATGTTTTCAGTATTTTATTTATGAAAAATTTTCCCCTGCAATGTAAGATTTGAGTATTTTATTTTTCAAGGGCATTTTAGTAAAAGTAGTACCCGGCCGGGTTAGGGTGTTACAGCTCAACAATCGACCGCCTCGCTCAATCACCTCGTGGGATGATATTCTCAACAAATTCATGACCCACTACTGCTCTCCTTCGAAGACGGCAGAGTGGAGAAAGAAGATCACCCATTTCGAGCAAGACGAAGATGAGACCTTGAGAGATGCTTGGGAAATATTCTCCGACTATTTCCTTCAATGCCCTCACCATGGATTCGAGGAGCAATTTGGGATGGGAAATTTCTATGGTGGTCTTATACATGAAGACAAGATCCTCATTGACTCTCTTTGCCAAGGGAGGTTGATGAACATGACCCCACCTCAAGTGAACCAGTTGCTCCAAGATATGGCTCTTAAAGTATATGATTGGGGCTTGAAGATAAGTGGGAAGAGAAGCAATGAAAGAGGAGTAAGAAGTGTGGGAGCAAGTGTTGCACTTGAAGCGAAGCTTGACAAGTTGATCGAGGTAATTATTGAGGATAAGAAGCAAGGGAAGATAGCGGTGATGTCTTGCGATTGGTGTTCAAGCACTAACCGTGAGATGGCGTATTGCCAAGCAATAAAGGAAGCAAGCATTCCGGAGGAACAAGTCAATTTTGTTGCTAATGCTAGGGGGAACAACCCGTATAGCAATACTTATAACCCCGGGTGGAGAAATCATCCTAACTTTGCATGGTCGTCATCGACTAATCCGAGACCCCCTGGTTTCCAAGGCCCTACGGGCAATTATCAACCTCGGCCAACTTTCATCCAAAAAAGGCCTCAATTCCAAAACTCGAGAACCTCGGTGTACTCATGAGGGACGGCTTGATTTCAAAGTTGTTGGCCGTCACAGGTGGGTGTAAGATAGGCGATTGAATGTCCGCCGGCCGTGGGGCCATGTAATAACCCATTGTCCTTGGGGCCTCCTCCTCTGCCGCCTCATCATTGTTTTGGACAGGTCCCTCTCTTTGTTGGTTCTTCACCATCTCAACTCCAATATTAAATTCACCTTCAACTCCTTGAACTTCTACTCCACTAACTCTGGGACACAATTGTTGTCCTCTTTCTTCAATTCTCCTCCTTGCTTCCGCTAACTCCCTCTCCCGACCTAGGAGTCGGAGAGTCCTGTTGATGTTCTCGTCACGTGGTACCAAATGCGTCGAATTGCTCCGGGTCATGCACCTCCCTGCACACACTTAGAAAACAACACCACGTCTAGCACAAGAAAAAAACTAATACAATCAAAGCTAAAAAATAAAAGGTAGATTGACATCAAACAAATTTTTTAAGATAACAGACTGAAGCTCCTCGACAACAGCGACAAAAACTTGACTCTTCTCGAATATCACAACAAATTCCCACCTAAGCCCCAAGTATAAACCTTAGGATGGGTGCAATATAGGGCAAGTATGTTTAAATATCAACCCGGGCTAGTCCATGTACCCCTACTTCCATTGTTTGAAACATTATCTAGCGGATTGGTTTTTGGTTGAAAACTATAAGGATAAAATTAAAACAAAGCATAGGTAAATGGTTTGAAATCTCTAGATGAGAAGGATCACTCGGGTGTCGCTTCCCCCTAACTACTACCGTATCTTGTGGACTCGAATGGGTCGTTATGGTCGAGGCAATCGTGAACCGCTAGGAAGTGCAACTATGGTTGAAGACCACACTCTTAATTGCCAAACCAAGGGATACATTATAGGCTACTAGAGTAGCCCTCTTGGTTAATGCAATTGGGGGTTGACTTACCTTCTCCCTCAAACCGATGTTTGGACAGCTTAATCACGATTAACCTAGTCGTTTAATTCAAGATAGAGGTTTGCCCTACGTTAACCTAGGTAGGTGGCTTGAAAATCCCAAGGAATCCCAACACAATAGAGCCTCTTTGGAAAGGGGGGTTTCCCCTCTAACCTAGGTTAGAATGGCCAATTAGATTGCTAAGCATAAACATGCATAATCATCATGAAAAATACCTCAATCATTAAATTAAACAACGCCCATAAACAATCATTCAATTCACACAACTACATGGCAAATAGTTAGGGTTTCACAACACCCAAGTGAAAAAAGAAACTACTCCATGCTAGAAAGGGGAAGAACACAAAAGAAAGAAGTAGAAACCATCATGGTGATGCCTCCACTCTCCTTTGATCTTGTGTTGATCTTCTCTTGGAGAGATTCTTCCCAATTCACCACTTGGAGCAAACCCTAGCCTCCTTTCTTCTTTTGTTTGTCCTTTCTCTCAATAATATATGAAGAAGAAGGTGCTTTCTCACACTTGGGCTCTCCCCTCTCTCTTCCTTTCAGCTCACGTTATATACTGGGATCGGGCTCAGTTCACAGCTTCAGTTCACGGCCGTGAACTCCTCAACGCGTCCGTGAACTCGGAGTGTTGTGTCGAAATGCGCCGCTTCACTCACTTGAGTTCACGGTATGCACTCAAAGTTCACGTTCTTGGTGACCGTGAACTCACTCGGCATCACTAACCTCTAAATCTGCCCTAGACTCTTCATGGTTCACAGTTTATGGCTCCAGTTCACGGACTTAGGAGACCATGAACTCCAATGGGAGACCGTGAACATGGCCCGAATCACCCTCTTTGCCCGGTCTTTGCTCCTTTCCTTCCAACTTTCGACTCTGGGGTTCGTTTCACCTGTTAGTTCCTGAAATACACTGAAACACGAGAAACCTAGCGTAAAACCACCCTTTTAGGAGCACAAATCCCACAAATGCCCAAGGGAAACGGGGATAAAATGTGTACAATTAGATCCAACTCAGACGTGTTAGCCAATTGGTTGAAGTTGTAGATAAAAACAGAATGGATTTTGAATGTAACAGACGTGATTTTAATGAATTTAGAGAGTTTTTGAGTAGGCCAGTGCCGCAAACAAGGGCTGTGCCGTTAAGTGTCGAGTATCCGTTACCCCCCGACACTGGCACCAATAACCCGCTTAGATAGGGAGTTCCGCCGACACCGGTGGGGAACCCATCAACTTCACGAGTGAATCTTGGTGAGACTAGCACTGCCACTGACACGCTAAAACACAATACCTAACAATGGCCAAGTGTAACCAATGAAAGGGACTGCAGTATAGTGGCTCAAGTAATAAATATCGAATCCACGGGTCTCTAGAGTTACTATTACTTAGCTTCAGTTCATTATCTAGCAAACCAGATTAAGATGGAAGAACTAAAACTACTCTAACAAACTACAGTTAAAGTTAATCTGATTACAAGTTGGGAACTCACTTAGGTATGATTCCCCCTAGCCACTAGCCAGATTAATGATTGATGATCTCTAACCTGTTTCACTTTCATTAACAATGCGGAGAATCCTTGACTAGACCTTGAGTCTTGACTAAAGGAACAAGGCCCTTTTGAGTCAATTGCCTAGAGGGACGTATCCTTCTCTAGAACAACCGATCAAGGCATTCTGAACTAGACTCCCTCTATCTAAAGAGGTTCTCAATCGATACAAAGCAGTGAATCAACCCTCGACTAAAGCAATCAATCCAATACTATCAATCTATGATGCTCAATTGACCTAATTAGGTATTCGCTCTCATAGGATCAAAGCAGAATCAATAATCTCGACTAAAGCAGAATTGAATCATGAAAATGTGCATAGATTGAATATGAACTCAAGATTATCAAGTAAGAGCACTCATACAATCATCCAATCAAACAAACATAGCTAGGGTTCCTCAAAACCTAAGTGAAGGGAAGTTACTTCATAGAGAAGAGAGAGACTAGAGAAATCTGATCTAGATCTTCAATCTCCATCTCCAAGCTTGAATCCCGAGCTCCAATTGCGAAGAAATCCTCCAAAATAGCTGCAAGAATGTTCCCAAGTCGCTCTCTCTCTAGGGTTCGTCCCTTGGGTGTTTGGGATCCAAAACCCAGCTCTCACTTTCCTTTGGCCTCAATCTGCCAAAAAAACCCGAGTATGGGCAAAACACGGTCGAGGACACGGCCGTGTTTTACTTTTGCCCGCCCGTGTTTTGCCCACAGCAGCCCTCGTCGGCCAAAACACGGTCGTGCCTAAATATGGACACGACCGTGTTTTTCTTTAGGCCAGCCCGTGTTTTACTGCCGAACCTGTTCCCCTATATTCAATGCTTCGTTTCTCCCTCGTCCGGACTCCGAGTCAGTCGCCGTTTGATCCCAGACACTCGTAGTATCGTCCTCTTTCTTTTCATGACAAACTTGCATGATTATTTTTACATAAAGTGAGGTAGAAATCCATTCTTCTTATACTTCAACATCCTCCATAGTGCTACACTACCTCTCTAGGTTGCACATTACTATAGAGACTGTCAATTCAAAGCATACTGAGCAGGCAATTTGCAAGGAAACACGTACTTGGAGCCCTCAAATTTAAAAATTTGGACAGTGGACTAGGCTCCAAGCACACAAACAACCAAACATTCACCCACATACATAATCGAACATCCCCCCAAACTTAAGCACGACATTGTCCTCAATGGAGGAAAGATAAGGAGGGTAGAACGAAGTTACCAGATCAAGGGTGAATGATGGTGGACGAGGCAGGCGGTGCATTCCACGTGGAGAGAGTAGTCGAAACACAAACACCACACAAAATCTCACAAAGGTTGAGTTATTGACTCTAAAATCAAATAACAAAACTGACTCAACCGAGGAGAAAAAGAGAAAGAAATGCAAACTGACTGGTTGGGTTGCCTCCCAACAAACGCTTCTTTCACGTCGTGAGCCGGACGATGGCTCCTAAATTTTGGTCCACCCCAAAACCTCCTTGAAGTTGATGTTATCGTCGATGAGGTGGAGTCTTAAGTCACGAACATGTGGTATGACAGGTGATGGAAGCTCGTGCACTTGATGCAGATGAAGTCTCCACCCTCGAGACCTCTTCTTCTCTTCTCTCGTCTCATTGCCCCAAACCAGATATGACAACATCGATTGACCACCATCGCGTCCACCAAGAGGAACCGATGTCGATGTGGCCTTGGTCTGGCAAAAAGACACTACAAATGGGTCCTTGCTAAGCAGTTCCTCGAAGTTTGGTGGGGATATTACTTGCAACTCATGGCCGGTGCAAGCATCTTCCACCTCAACTTCGTCCTCGGCCTGGATGCCAATTGCTTCTTCAACCTCCCTTCCTTGTTCATGTGGTATCACCCATGGGAACTGATCAAGAACTCCTTCTGCGTCACTTTCGTCATCCTCCACAACTTCTTTATGCACCCTTTCTTGCTCTTCTTCTTCTAGCACGGATTGGAGAGCAAGTTGCCAAGCAATTTCTTTCATGAGATCTTCTTGCATCTCCTCACTCATGCCCGCCTCTTCAAAGCTCAGTTTGGGATGTGGGAAGGTGTGGTCGGCTACGCAGGACATTCCTGATCATGATCATCACGGGAGCTCTCCGTGACAACTTCAGTGTGCTCCACAATGTCCTTGTAGCCTTCAGCTTCCTCCTCCTCTTCTAGTATGGTAGCAGGAGGGTGATCTGGAGCAGGTTGTGCACAAGATCGCTCAAGATCATCGACGCTCTTCTTAATGCTCAGGAGGATCTCCTCTGTTTCACGATAGGCCTGGGTACAAAGATCCATCCTAGACAATGATCTCTCACTGTCTCGAGCAAACTGCTCCATGAGAAGCCTCAATTCATAGTTTGGATCTCGCTGTGGAGTGTAGCATGGCTCTGCAGAATGGCCCGGGAAGGCTGCCATGGGGAACTCCAGCTCCGATGGCCCTTCTGGTTGTGGGAGAAATTCTTCTTGGTAATGAGGTTGTTCTTGATAAGCCCAAGGGTCTGATTGTTCTCCGTAGTAAGGGGGTTGATACTGGTACCCGAATCCATAGTCCTCTCCTCCTTGATTGCTCCAGGGAGTCTCGGGGTAATACCACTCGGATGGTGGTGGATACCCCCAATGGTTGGAGAAGCCATGAGGATCCATGATTCAGATCTGCACCAACAAAAACAAAACACCCAAGTGAAAAGCAAGGGTGGAAAAGAAAAAAAAAACGCTAAAGTAACAAACTTCTGCATTTCCTAATAATCTAGAAAGTCCCCGGCAACGGCGCCAAAAACTTGACACGCTAAAACACAACATCTTACAATGGCCAAGTGTAACCAATGAAAGGGACTGCAATATAGTGGTTCAAGTAATAAATATCGAATCCACGGGTCTCTAGAGTTACTATTACTTAGCTACAGTTCATTATCTAGCAAACCAGATTAAGATGGAAGAACTAAAACTACTCTAACAAACTACAGTTAAAGTTAATCTAATTACAGGTTGGGAACTCACTTAGGTATGATTCCCCCTAGCCACTAGCCAGATTAATGATTGATGATCTCTAACCTGTTTCACTTTCATTCACAATGCGGAGAATCCTTGACTAGACCTTGAGTCTCGACTAAAGGAACAAGGCCCTTTTGAGTCAATTGCCTAGAGGGACGTATCCTTCTCTAGAACAACCGATCAAGGAGTTCTGAACTAGACTCCCTCTATCGAAAGAGGTTCTCAATCGATACAAAGCAGTGAATCAACCCTCGACTAAAGCAATCGATCCAATACTATCAATCTATGATGCTCTATTGACCTAATCAGGTATTCGCTCTCATAGGATCAAAGCAGAATCAATAATCTCGACTAAAGCAGAATTGAATCATGAAAACGTGCATAGATTGAATATGAACTCAAGATTATCAAGTAAGAGTACTCATACAATCATCCAATCAAACAAACATAGATAGGGTTCCTCAAAACCTAAGTGAAGGGAAGTTACTCCATAGAGAAGAGAGAGACAGCAGAAATCTGATCTAGATCTTCAATCTCTATCTCCAAGCTTGATTCCTGAGCTCCAATTGCAAACAAATCCTCCAAAATAGCTCCAAGAATGTTCCCAAGTCGCTCTCTCTCTCTCTAGGGTTCGTCCCTTGGGTGTTTGGGATCCAAAACCCAGCTCTCCCTTTCATTTGGCCTCAATCTGCCTAAAAAACCCGATTCTGGGCAAACACGGTCGAGGACACGACCGTGTTTTACTTTTGCCCACCCATGTTTTTCCCCCAGCAGCCCTCGTCGGCCAAAACATGGTCGTGCCTAAATATGGACACGACCGTGTTTTTCTTTAGGCCAACCCGTGTTTTTACTGCCGAACATGTTCCCCTATATTCAATGCTTCGTTTCTCCCTCGTCCAGACTCCGAATCAGTTGCCGTTTGATCCCAGATGCTTGTAGTCTCGTCCTCTTTATTTTCATGACAAACTTGCATGATTCTTTTTCCATAAAGTGAGATAGAAATCCATTCTTCTTCAGGTCATGCCCGAGTTTCTTCTCCCTAATCGCCAATTGATCTCTGGTTGACTTGAAGCGATAATGCAAGCTTAAACGATCAAGAAGCAAAGGGGAAAACATGTGCAAATATAGAGTCATCAGCCACCAACACTCGTGCTGAACCACCACTGATTTACGGTGTGGGTCCAAAAAATATCCTGGAGGCTATGCCCTAGGTGGCCCCGATAACTGGTTCAGTTCGTAGAGGAACGATCAACAACGATCATGTTCCGCCATGCGGCTACTCGAAAAATGTGCCTCCTCCTCCGAACATGCATGGTATGGATCCCGGTGATTTATGCCGCAAGGGGGGCAACTCGGGGGGCAAGACGTTAACATCATTCGAGATCAGGTAGCACAAATGTTGGTGGATTAGCTTGGTTTAGGAATTAGACCAACGATGCCGCCGGTGTACCAAAAACCATATCCGAACTGGGTTGATAGATACTACCCCTTTCTACGTGATTTTTGTGTGCCTGATTTTATCACCTTTAGTCCACCGTTGAATACGTTGGACGATTTACTTTCCAATGCGGTGATGTGAGTAATTTCCTAAAGCTACGTTTGTTTGGAAATTCGTTGACGGGTCCCGCATTCGGTACGTTAACTTGCCATCAAACTCGGTTCAAACTTGGCAGCAAATGGAACAAATGTTCCATGCCCAGTTCAAGCATTCTGAGCCAGAAGTAACAATGGAAGACTTGGCATGAATGCGCCTACAACCAGGAGAAACGGGGGAACACTTCTTAACCAATTTTAAGAATGCAAGGAATCGCTGTTTTGTAAACTTGATAGAACGCGAGTTTGTTAAACTTGCTCAAGGTGGTTTAAATTTTGAGATACGTAAAAAATTTCAAGATAGAGAATTTTAAGATCTGTTCCAATTGATGTCCGATACTGTTAGGTACGAGTCTCTTCTCCATGAAGAAGAACATAGGAGCAGTGGTTCTCGTGGGCAATATTTTCCTAATTTTGAAAACTATGGTGTTAATCACGTCGGCAACGATGTTGATGAGGTTAAAGTTGATTTGGCTGAGATTGTGCAAGATGCAATCGAGAAGGGTCGGCTCAAGTTTCCAGAGCCGAGGAATGAGGCCATGATTGTCGACATAGACCCTTTTCCCAACGTTATCGGCATCAACATCATCAATCCTGACTTCTCCAAGCTCAATCTGCCATGTTTCAAGATGGTGCTGAATACGACACCGCCGTCGAGTGTGGCCCAAGGTGCTTCATCCTCGCAAGTGCAAGAGGGGCCACACTTGGATCCAACTGAGGAGGAGAAGTTGTATGCCCAATGTCGCGGAAAGCAGAACATTGGGGAAGCAAGGCCGAGCCAGTCGGTCCACCAGAGATTGGGACCATGACAGTTCAAACTAAGATTGACACGGGGATCCCTCACTAGCTAGTCCGGTTGCCCAACTCATACATATGAGTATCCATCCAGGTTTTTCTTAAACTTAAACTTAGTTAGGAGAGTCGTAATGATTCATCCCCTAACATCTTAAACTTCTCGTGGTGGCTCTTCACCACGATTTTCATGAGCATAACTGCTGGTCATCTTAGAAGTCTCAATAGCATAAATGCTGCTCTATCTCAAAATCTCAAATGGCAACGACTGACGCTGGTGACTAAAAACACTTAAAATATTTCACCTTCTTGAAGGTGAAAAACTACTTAAAAGAAACTTGTTTCTTAAACTTAAACTTACTTGTAAGTAAAGCACACAATAACATAAAACTGAAAGCATAACTCACACAAATTATATGACATCATATAAGCATACAAAGGCAAGTACGACACATAGCAGTCAAATCTCAAAAATTTAAATATCGTAAGGCGTAGAATTTACCCCTTGAACACTTACCTTACGTTAAGCTGAAATTAACTACGATGGATCGCCACCACCATTCCTAATTTATGGGCAACCATGCCTTGACCCGCTTGGTCATTCTCCTTGATTCACATTGGTAAATTTCATTTGAAAGACCAGCAATGCACGTATACCCCAATCCTTCCAAACTACCAAGACATAAAGTATGTTGGTTATGTATATATATTTGTTGTTGAGCACTTTTACTATACTATATAGTATTGGTACTTTAATGTACAACTTAAAGTTGTACCATAACATTAAATGTATAAGTTTAGGTTGTACCATAAAGCAATTTGTACAATTATGTTATGGTACAACTTTACAACTTGAATTTGTACCATCACATAAAGGTACAAGTTCAAGTTGTACCATAAAAGAATTTGTACAAAAAATATAGGTACAATCTGAAGTTGTACCATAACGTAAATGTACAATTTTAAGTTGTACCATAAAGGCAAAATCTTATAGCACCAATACTATATAGCATTGTAAAATTACTCATTTGTTGTTAACCATAAACTCAATAATCAAATCGTAACGAATATAGTGTCCTCAGGCTTCATGACTCTCCTCCGCAGGTGAATTTACTCTTGCAATTCTTTTGGATGCGAATCCCTTCCCATGTTAATGAACCACTCCATGCGTATATATTCCAAACGAGTAACAAAATTACGTACCTAGCTAGTACCTTAATCGGATCGGCAGCTCGATCGTCACTAGTCCTTGCTCTATCGGTCCCGACACAGAATGCATCATCCAGTTGCAGTGACGGATTCAGAAATTTTAAATAGGAGTGTCCTCTTCAAAAAAATTAAAATTAAAATTTAAAAATTAAATCAAATTATTATTAAATATGAAAATATTCAACTAGTAAAAGTTAGAATAAAATTTCAAACATGTTCCGTATTATGAAAGAATTGTAAAATACATTCGGTGTATACACTGCTCAACAAATCTCTCGTGACATATCCTACTAGACAAGGGTAACCCGTAATTGGGTTTAATCGTTAGGTTTTGAAAATAATTGGGGATCAGAATAGCCTTTTACTATTATATTTTAATCTAAAACATAACTACAAATGAGTTGTAGTCTAATTGAAACTATATTTACTAGTAGTAGCAGTGTTCCGAAGTTCAAATCACATAGACCCTATCACTTAAATATTATTTGTACCCATATGCAGAATACTATAGGAGGTTGAATAATGATTTTCCATATTTTAAGAGTGTTCCACTATCACTAACTTTTGTTTTTACCCATACACAAACTACTATCGAATGTTGGATAATCATTTTTTCAAATTTTAGGGGTGTCCTGGGACACCCCTAAACCTCCATGTATCCGCCCCTGTCCAGTTGATTCCCGGCCGTGCCCCATCGATTCCATTCATGTCGGCCCTAAAACCAACCACCAGAATAGTTGTTGTTGGTTCCGTCGTCGATTGATTGGTTGGTCACCGCTCACACGACATCGTCGTGTCCATTGGTGGGCTTACTTCTCATCGCATATCACCGATCTGCGTCTCTCCCTCTCCACCTCTTGAATACCTTCTCGTTTTCTCATTTCCAACACTGTACGACCAGCTCTCCTCCCTTTATTTTGGTTTCCTTCCAAGGCATCTGGATGCGGCCAAAAATGGTAAGGCGTTAAAAGAATCGTGCCCTGCCTTGGTTTCTCCATCGGCTTCACCGTGATTCTCAGTAAGCGATGGGGCGTCTTGCTACGAATGAACCGGCTCAGGCTCAGCTGAACACCTGAGTTTTGCCGAGACGGAAGAAAGATGGAGGGTTTAAGAGGTCTAACAAGTAGGGTTTGTCTCTGTTGGTGTAGCGAAGCTGAATTCCAAAGTAACGTTTGTGGAATTCAGCCGCAACTGTCTATCTTTCACTAGTTCCTCCTCTTCCCAAAGGTAACGTGAGACCAGGTTAAATCACGGTTAATTAGGCTTAATTATGATTAATTACTGGGGTTAATGAGTGGGGGGTTTAACTTATTATTTTCCCCTTATTTCTGTTGCATTTCTGCTCCATAGGGCTGGTCGGGTGAGAATTAAACGAGAAAATGGGCTAAGAGAGATAGAGAGAGAGACCAAGAGAGATGGGGTGAAATTGGATTCTTATGGAGGGTTTAATTAGACTTAGGATGGTCTTAATTATAATTGATATAATTAATCATTATAATCAAAAGAAGGACATAATAATAATTTTGGTAATTAATCATGGCCACCAGTCGACGGGCAATTTTGGCATTTCCAAAAATTGTAAAGTACTGGGTGTTACATTTCCTCCCCACTTATAAAAATTTCATCCTCAAAATTGAAGCTATAGGATAGTGATTGTGAAGTAAACATTTTTACTGAGACACCCTGTATTTGATTGAACCTGTATTGACCGGGATGTAACAGCCGTAGAGTTGGCCAGGCAGAAAAAGAGTTCGCAGCGGATTTTAAAAGAGCTGTATGAGGCTGGGCACAAGGCCGTTGGGCTTCTGGGCAAAGATGGAGGGAGATATCCGTACTACGTGTTGTACCAAGGCCCAAAAGAGTCACCAAGCATGCTAGTTGAGAATGTTTTGTGGGGATCTGAGTTCGACGAAGTAGAGAAGTCTATTCAGGTCGCAGCAGCAAAGGGAAAGGCTGTGGATGAAGGGTCAAATAATAAGAACCAAACAAGGTCGTTGTCTCCAACGAGCTCGAGCCAAGGATGCTGCACCATATGAGGTCTCTCTACATCAAGGCCGCACTCAATGATGTACTAGTGTCGAGAGTCCTAGTCGACGATGGCGCCACAGTAAATGTGATGCCAACAAGGATGTTGAAGAAGTTGGGGAAGAGTACGAGTGACTTTGATATGATCCCGAATTGCTTGCCATTCAATTTTCCATGGATTGATAAAGGATCGAGGTTGTTGAGGAACAAAACACATGGAATTTGGCCAAGCGTTTTGGTTGTTCTAGGAGCCCAACTTGGGAGGCTCGATTCTCTCTATTTACTCAATGAAAATGGGTGTTCTTGGGCTTGTTTTGAAACTTGGAATTTGCTGTACAAGCTAGGTGGTTTGGATTTTCAGGAAGAAGCCTGGAGGATCTTTTTTGAAGGCTTCCAAGTTGCTATGCTGAAACCGAGAATCTGCCTGTTTTTGGCTAAGGCATTTGACGTGTTCAAGGTGCCATCTTTGGAGCTCCATATCTCGAGTTTGGGACACGATCAAGAATTAATTCAAGTTGGAACGAAGACAAGAACACATCACAAACCCAGGGAAGGCATTGGATAAACCTGGTTCAACGTGGAAGACCATTTTCGAGGGCCTCAAAGAAGCTCCCTCGCACTGCTAGTAATCCGAGTCCTATAAGGATTCTTAGTCCATTTCAGATTACAATTGTAATTCAGTTTTCTTGTTTAATTAGTTGAATTTCAATCCTAGTTTTAGTTTGTTTGTAGTTGTTTAAGCCTATAAAAGGCCTCATTCACGAATTGTAACATTCAGAGAGTTGAATTGAGAAGAAATCCTCAAAATTTCCAACTTGTGCGTTGTGAGTTTGTTCTTGGTTTTGGTTGCGATCAAAGCTTGCTGAAACAACCTATTAATTGAGCAAACCCACTCGATTACATCGAAGGCATCCTTATAAAGTTTGTGTATTCTCCTAGGTGGGAGAATTCCCATCCGTCTCCATCCATTGATCGACTCAAACTAGCTTAGTCAAGCACGTTTGAGAACCCTTTTTGTGTTCTTAACCGTGAGATTGAAATATGAGGTTTCCAAGCCCCTTGGTTGCGTGATTCTGATTCAAAACCCTGCCTAGGGATTTATCAGACTTCATCCCACGGAAGTGTTTGTGACAAGCTTCAATGGCGGTCCACTTCTGCCAAGGGAATCCTCCCAGTCATTGTGGAAGTTGGATCACAGAAGCGGATGAGTGCTTTATTGATGGTGGATGGGATGATAAACTACAAGGCACTACTTGGCTTGGATTGGATCCAGGCCAACAAATGCATTCCTTCTTCTAGGGTTGGACGTTCGGTTATCGGTTGCCGGTTAACCGTCCGGTTAAACTGATAACTGGCGGTTACCGGTTAACCGACTAACCAAAAATTGTAAAATCGGGCGGTGTTTGGTTACGGGGCTAGCTATGCCGGTTAACCGGCTAACCGACGGTGATAACCGCTAGTTAACCGGCTAACCGGCAAATCTAACCCCCTCCCCTCAATCGTAAAACAATGCCGCCTCCTCTTCTGCCTAAACCCTAATCTCGGCTGCGCCCCTCAATCTCTCCTCTGCATCGCGAGACGCAAAGTCTCTCCCAGTCCTCCGCTGGCGCCATTCCTTTCCGGCGACCAGTGCGGTTAACATGGTCTGTCGCGGTTATCACGGTTAACCGAGCAACTAACCAATAACTGACTGGTCGGTTGTCAGCTAACCGATGCATTCCGTCAGACGGTTGGCGGTAGACGAGGCTGGCGTTGCGGTTAACCGGTAACCGACATTTCGGTTATCGATTATTATCGATATAACCAAAAATCCAGCCCTACCTTCTTCATTGCATAGTGTTTGATGCTATGGAATAAAGAATATGTAATTTTTCATGGGGGCCAACGTGGCTGAAGCTTAATTGTACCATGGGGATTTTGGCCTACTTGAGATTAGGGGTGGGGAAGGAGGAACATCTAACGTTATAGTGTCAATCGCAAAGGTGTTGAGTAAGGCATGCTTGGACCTAGGGCTTGAAGTTTGGTACCGGTATTTAGGATATACCGAATACCGCACCGAATTTGTC